GGGCGCTGTGCTCCTTCTTTCGAAAGTGCCGCGTCGACGAGGGGACAACACCGATAAAGGCACAATGAAACACGGGGTGTTCTTGCAGCTTTGAAAGGATACCTCGACGTCGGCTATCTCACTAATTCGTTCTGAGCAGAAATACGTAGTTCTTTTGTTAAGTTTTGCAATCCTGCTGATTTTAGAGGAAAAAAGAACGCATTACCACCTGTCTGGAAAGTCTTTATGTTTTTCGAAGTGGAAAAACGTCTCTTAAAAATCGTTTCACTCTCATGTCATTCATAAGAATCCTGATGAAATTATCCATAATAATCATGGTACAATTATTCACAATTTGAACATTTGGAAATAGCAGGAGATGACGTATCGCTTGAGGAGCGTACGGAGCTCAACTTCATCTCAAGCGTTGCCAATAATTGAATATGTCGCTGAACGTGTACTGGAGTCTAATGCTATTACTAGCGAATATTATTATCTTTACCTTGCTTCTATCGCCTTCTGTATGCTTCTGCTAATTTATGTACTTATACGGGATGTTACTGAAATAATACTCACTAATCGTACAGTGCTATTTCTAATAAAAAACTGAGTCGAAAAAATTGACCAATTACATACGAGGAGAATAATTGACCGTGATATGTCCATTTCTTATGGCTTAAGGCTTAAAACTTATTATAGATCCGGCGTAAAGTATAACAAAGTAAAGCAATCCATCATTCTTTTATTTTATAGAAAGGAAAAAATTTGATCGATTCATTTTTTAGGTAAAACTGTGTTTTTGTCTTCAGTCATAAATAATCGTAAGCATGTCGATTAATCATAATCGAACATCCTAAAACATAAACCTAATATTTCATCGTGTGACATAAAATTTTTCAAGTCTCTTGATTGATTGCAAAACAATCTGAGGACATTGTTCTGCACTGAACCAAAACTACGTAAAACACAATAAAATATTTATTGAAATTATGACAAAATAATGAAAATTGGTCCAACGAATTGTCATAATGATTTAGGTTGTAAAACTATTACTAGAATTTATTGCAAGAATGAATATATAATTATATAAATGAATCCAGTTATTGTATCAATAAATTAACTACATTAAGTTGGACATTAAATCGGACATTGATTAACGATCACTCATTGAATCAAAAAAATGATTAAAATTTTTTCAATGTGTAATCAATTAATAGATTTGAAAAGTTTTCATATGACACATGAAATATTAAGTTTACAATTGCATTGCTTTTGATTTCGACTAAATTTTTTTTACATGTGATGGCCTTAAAGATAAATAGTTTTATTTTATATTGGTTTGATTGCATTGCAATAAATAGATACATACTCGTTAACATAACATAAGCGCATTCTCGACGATGAAACGCAAAACTCGCGGTACGTAAATTTTTCAGCCACGATACCGGAAGCGACGGTCGACGGAGACTATTGCCTCCTTATTCGGCTGGCTGAATCTTTTAACGTCGGTAAGAGGCAAATCTCGTCCCGCTTAATCCCATGTAAAAGTTTCGGTGCAGGATTTCACCGGTGATCTGCCTACGGTCTCTCTTTCTCTCAAACAGCCCCGACCGAAACCGATCAAACGGCAAAACTCGGAAAGAGCTATGCATTTTTCATCCGATGTAAAAGAAAAAGCTCGTCGTAAAACCCAGCGAGATCTCCGGCATAATCCGCAGTGCCGTTCTACATTTTCCTGTCTCGGCTCAGCAAGATCTTAAACTCTATAGTTTTGTAACGATTTCTTACCGTTCCTCTTTTTAATCCCACTGTGCAACATAAACGTTTATAGTTTTCAGAGTTTAACCGTGGGATTGTTAAAAAAGGAGGAATTGTAAGAATCGCTTGCATCACGACTTGATATAACTTTCGATCCAAGTTCAGAGTACGAATTTATCCCGCCTCTCTCTCTGTCTCTCTCTCTCTCTCTCTCTCTCTCTCTCTCTCTCATTCGAAGAAGCAGGAGAGAATCCTGCTCGAACAAGTCTCGCGGTAATTCTCCTGTCGTCCCCCGGGCTCCCTCGGCCACGACGGCGATCCCGTTAACGAACGACGCCATTAAGGGCGCATTAACATATAATTTTCCGTGAGAAATTATAGGCGACTCAACGCCGGGTTGCTTTGCACGGTGTTTATTACGCGTGTCCGCCGCATCGCGCGGCGCGAGAGCGAGCAGGCCCAGGACGAGAAAAAGAGAAAGAGAAGGATAAAGCGAGAGAGAGAGAGGCAGGAGCGCCGCACCGGAGTCGATTGGCGGTGGCGAAGGAGAGAACGTCGGATCGTGATGTGGCTGACTCAAGAGGGGGAGGAGGGGGAGGAGACGCGGAGGTTTTAAATCGCGTGATGTGTTAGTGCATTCATGCGAATCCACATCTTGCGGAGGGGGTACGAAGGGGGACCAGAGGAGCGCGCGTGTGTGGGATCGCGTGCGGCGGCGAGATCAAACGAACACGCTCTGTCTCTCTCCCTCCCGCTTTGACTTTCTCTCTCTCTCTCTCTCTCTCTCTCTTCGTCAACATCATCGTCCTCGTCGCGGCTTCTCTTTTCCCTTCTCGGTCGCGCCCGAGCTCTGGCAAACACGCTACCAGTTTCTCACTTTTGCTCGCGAGCGCGTCCTCTCTCTCTCTCTCTCTCTCCATCTTTCTCTCTTCCTCGACGACAACGTCGAACCAACACCGGTTCTCTCTCGTTGGTTTCGTCCTTTGCCTTCTGCCCTCTCCTGTTGCCCGCCGAAGAGGAGCTCCAGGCCGCCGTCGCAGGCGCGATTCCATTATTATCGCCGATAGTTTAATTTCCATTAATTGCCGGGCGCGTGAATTTCTCATGGATTCTGCAAGATTAAAACGCTAACCCCTTTTAAAAAACTGATATTGTACCTGAGGGAATTTTGCTACGCGAGAGCAAAATTGCTGAATTTTAGGAACGATTCGACTTTGAAAACATTTACGTAAGTTTTCAAGATAAAAAATTTTGAAAAAATTAAATCTATTATGATTTATATACTTTAAATCTTTTATACTATATGTTTATTCATCTAGCTGTATGGAAATATACGTAATTTATTTGAATGTAGTATACAATATCGTATAAAGAGAGCGAAACTAAAATTATATTTCTCTCAATCATGTGAAAGACAGATTTAGTCTGGAACGGGTAAAATTAGTCGCGAGTTCCGCTTTAAGAGAATTTCGGAGTAATGGAGTCGTGTACCTGACAATCTCTTTAAATTCGTATTTACCAAAGTCGATAAGACTGTCGAGCTGCCAACTGGCTGCTGCAGTTGAATCACGCAGCTGGAAAATGCCATTTCAAATACACGATTAAAACTTGATCGAAGACACCGTGACTAATTCGACACAAATTGATTATCTTCTTGAAGTAAGAATCTGACAAAAATCTCGCATTTTTTCCTCAGTCGAACAGATTATTATAAAAAATGCTGGATCATTTAAAAAGTATCCGCGGTTTTTTCATTCAAAAATTGAACAAAAAACCGCGGATACTTTTTAAATGATCTAATATCTCGTTTTTTAAGAGAACGACGTAATTCATAGCTATTTCGAAAGTATTTCGCCGTGTATTCGATATATCGAAATCGATAGTAATACAAAAGAAAAGATCAGACGAAGAGAATCGAATAAAGGGTTTAATTTCATCGTGAAGAGAAATTTCGAGAGTATAAATTTCTTTTCTTTTTTTTTTTTTTTCTTAGGACACCTCGTGTATATATCATTATCTTTCAAGATCGGGTGTCATCCGGCTTCTTTCGTTGACGATCCGACGTCGGCCCGGTCAAACCGCTGACACCTTTCAAGTTGCCGACTTTCTTCCCCTTACGTTTCTTCACTTTTCCGTTCTCCCCCCCTCCTTCTAACTCTCCGACAGCCTTCGGTCTTTCGTATGTTTTCTTTGTCCTCTTCCCGACTGTCATGCGAATTTGTCGCTTTATCACATCATTGTATGTCTCCAACTGTATATTATTTTTATAAACAAATGTATGTTTTATGAGCAAATATGTTTTAATGTTTTTCTTAGTAAAAAAAAAATAATATTAAAATCTCTTTCTCGGTACAATAATCATACAAATAATGCGAAATTTTTTTTGGCGTATTTCATGTTACAGATAAAAAAATAAGAGCTTTAGTTAAAATAATCTAATACGTACACGAAGAGAATTTTTTTTTAATTTACTCTGAAAATATGATAGTTGTGATACAATGCAATATTTTAAAGATTTTTACCATAGTAAAATTCAGTAAAATTAAACTTATTTTATATTTTATTAGTTTTATTAAACGAATGGGAGAAAACATAAAATTCTTCGAAATACAATACATTGTTCCAGGATTATCATATTTTCAGGGTAAATTCTAAGAAAAAAATTTTCATGTATGGTCACTATTTATTTTTGAGATTATTACTTGAAACGTTTATTGATGATTTCAATAGAAAAAAAACGGTTAATAAAGTCGAAAAATTCAAGTTTCCGTTTAAAGATCTTAAGAATTTGCCCTTGTACCTGGACCCTATCACTTTTTTGTACCGCCGCTTCGTCCACTAAGACCTCCCTTTCTCACTCCTTTGATAGAGAGAAAGAGAATCGGGCAGGAGAGGAGATCGGTGTGCTTACGAAGGAAGGTAGAGAAGAAGAACAAGTGGGGGGATGCAGCACGATAGAGAAGAAAAAGAGAAGCATGCTGCAAGGGACAGAAGAGCGAGAAGGAGAGACGGAGATAATGCTCGCTCTTTTCCTTGGCTCCTACGGTCACTGTAGTTTCAGTCTCACCGTGTACGTTGCGTAGGACACAGGTCCTACAAATCCGATCCTTCGTCAACCAGTCCTTTCGTTTGCCGGCGAAGTCTTTCGGTTTTTCTCTCCGGATTATCATTGTAAATCGTCCCCATCGTGAACACGTGTCTATTCTTCAGAATGTGATCGTTTCGAGTGAAGTTCTAAAAGAGATGCTAAATATACAAATATGTTACGTTGATGAATAATTACGTGTGGATATAAATTATTGTGTTATTATTATCATCATAGATTATTTTAAAAATAATTGTGAATGTTAAAAGCCGAAGGTGAAGATAATATATGGAAAAAAATTAACCTTTAACCGATTGTCCATTGTCGTTCTTATTCACAAAGAAAATATTTAGATAAATTGACGATCCAGGTAAACTGTTGCAAAAAAAAAAAACAAATTCCGATTCTGATTCGACTTGTTAGATGACGCGCAGTTGTCGCGGGATGATTACCGATGATGAAAAATGAACGTAATTTTCACGCGGAAGTAAAATCGACTCTGTGTGATAGGTTGATTCGTGAAGAAGAAAGAAAAGAGAATGTACGTCCGACTACGGGAGACTTCGATGCCACCGTCTGGAAAATCTCGGCGCGAGTGATGCTGCAATCACCTAAGTACGAGATTCGCCGTTCGCCGTATTCGATAGATAACATATAATCGTTACGATAATAATCGTTACGATATTTCCGCCGAGTCACTACTCGACTAAAAAAAAAAAAAAAAGCGGGGAAACGACAAAATCTTAATCGATAATTCAAGGATGAGAATAATTCTGTGGAATCGTATTCAAAAAAACTTCTGAAGCACATCTCTTCTTCTGATCCTCTGAATAATAGAATTTTATTCTCTTCAGCATTTACAAAGTCAAGAAGAGGATTTGATTTACAAACATTGTTTCTATCGTGGACTTTTGATGGAATTCGATGGAAGTGCAGCGATAAAATTAAAATTTAAAGAGCAAGAGAACAAACAATGAAAGAATAAAATTTGAATTTAAAGAGCAAGAAAAGAAGGAGTTTGAGTTTAAGGGAAAATCTTTTTCTGTGTGTATTGTGATAAATTTTTTGTGAAACATCTTTGTGATAATTTTCTGGTATAGCCGCGAGATCATCGAGAATGATATCGATTTTATCGGGCAATTGCTCTCGGCGGCATTTCAAAAAGGGCAAGTAGACGAGACGTCACGACTGATAGTCATCGGCCACGCACGGCGACGATAATGATGAACGAATCGCATCGCATCGCTGAGTCTCCATGAACCGGCGCGGAGTTAAGGTATTAATTGTGGTGAATTACGGGAGACTATTAATTACGGCGCGCCAAACGGGATCATTAATTGCGACACCTATCAAAGGGGTGAAGGAGGGACCACTTCCGCTCTGTGCAATCTCGCTATTATCACGGCATAATATTGTTGTATAAAATGCAACCTAATTGGTAGTATAAAATTGGTACATAAAATTAAAATTTCAAGTGAAAATATTGAAAGATTAGTCCATAAAGTATAAATTACTATACTCTATTGTTGTCTGTTTATTTCTCACATTTGTACATGTAGTGAGTGTTACAATTCTACAAAAAAAAACTCCAACATTTTTTAATTGAAGTACCTATGAAGTGCGACGTAACATATTTCTTCGTATACAAATATAGGGAAGGTTGCTCCCTGAAAAAACCGAGACGCACATCTTCTTTTAAGTCTTTTAACTACTGAAGTTTGTCCTAATTTACTTTGTCATCTTCTAAATACCTACAGCATTGACATAGTCTAACTAAAAGATGGATAGCATAGATATTTGAAAACTCAAGCTAGGTCAGGTAGTTGTTTGTTAAGAGAAGAAGGGGAACCGGCTTTGGTTAATACCGCGCTGAATGTCGTCCTTGCCAACGCCACCACCTGGGGTGAGCGGCCCTTCTGAAGTTCCTTTGAAAGATTTGCAGCTCGAGTAGTATCTCTGTGAGATGATGTGCGTAAAGTCATCTGACGATAACGGTGACACGCCTTTGATCGCTTCCGCCTTGTCTTTTACCGCACCGATATAACCGTCCTTACTAGTCATATCGGTTATCTTGAACGAATATGTTCTTAGATCGGTATCGTGAAAAGGTATTCGATTTTATGAAGGTAGAGAAAACGCAAATGTCCCGTGAATGAAGCGACGCTGTTCATTTCGGTCGCTTTGAGTTTAGCAGAAAAAGCTCTTTTATGTATACAAAATAGATAATTCTTTATATATACAAAGTAGATAATTCTTTAATTTCTGTATAGAAAAATTTTTTTCTTTGCACAAAATAACGGTTATGTTATTATTCAGCGGAGAAAGCAACTTTGTTGTTTGAAATTCTTTAAGATGTTTGATCTTGCTCTTAGTTCCTTACTGGATCTAAATATAAAAACTCGTATAAATCAATCATAACAAAGAATTTTATAAAAATTGCAAATCTACTTTCTCTGCTGAACGCAGCCAATGCTTGTGGAGTTATTACTAAAAGGGTATAATTATATATGAATAATATGAATAATAAGTTTATGAATGATATCAATTAATTGATAATTATTAGCTATATTACTATTATATTGAACTACTGGGAGTGATAAATCGCAATCCATTAAGCGATATAATTAAATTTTCAATCGACTAATGATAACTTATGATTTATACAATTATAACAGGCGTGAAAATAGAAGAATACTAGTGTAAGTTAGCGATATCGTCTCTCGTTTCTTTCTTTCAGGGATCGATGGTCAAGGTCTCAAAACTGTGACCCGTGTTAAAAATCTTCAAAAAAGATCCTACGGCTGTCGTTGCGAGAAAGCAAATCTTTGAAAAAAATTCGAATCTTTATCATAATAGATAGAACTCCCATGTGTGCGTGCTCTGTAAAGGGGACCACAAGAAAAGAGGCGAAAAGTAAGGGGGAGAGAGAAGGGAGGGGGAGGGGAGTCTCGGACATGTCCCCGCTCTCTTGAGCGCGTAAAAGAGATTTCGCCGACGTTGCTCTCCTCAGACGAGAGGCCGAAGGGATTCTCGCGGATAGAGAGGAGAGAAACAGCGGGATGGAGAACAAGGAGAGAAGAAAGGAGGAAAGGGGGGGAGGATCGCGCGGGACGGGCGCAGTGAGGGACGGAGGCGCAGAGAGGGTTAGTTGAAAGGGTTAGCTGAATGGGAGCCGTGTGTATGCTTTCCTCGTTTGAGAAGCCTCGTATCGTCCAGGGCTGTAAGGGAATCACCCTGCGCCACTGTCCTAACGCGCATCGTGATAAACCACTCGCATAATTATTTAACACCCGTTAAGTGCGTCGCGTCGCAACGACGGTTTTCATTGCGATGTTCGACGTTTGGCTTCCTACGGTCGTATATGGGCTAATAGTGAGCGGTCGATTGATTTTCTCGTCGGTGCTCGTATGAATTTGAATTGGTGGTGGAGAGTTCGATGGCATTTCTAATACAGGGTGACCCGCGAAGCGTCGATTAATTAGGAATCATGTAACATCAATTTTTATCAATGTGGATTAATTTTAATCTGTTCTTCATGTTTTTCTAATTCTAAAGCCTATTCTACAATGTGCTCTTTGTTTTCTGTTTCTTGCTTATTACTTCTTGCTTTTTTCCCCTTTGTAACCGTTTTATCGACAATTGTGTTTCTTACTACGTGCTTCCTGTTTCTTCCGAAGCTTAACTCGTTAAGTTTTATTTCAGGCGATATAAAACAAAAAAAACGGATAAGAAGCAAAAAGACAAGATGTAAAAAAATAGCAAAAAGCAAGAAACAAAAGGTACATTGTAGAATAATCATAAGAGTTATAAAAAATGAAGAGTAAGTTAAGGATGTTCTGGCTATACAGTCCCAGACAAAAGTTACTCAAATTTGAAATTCTATACTTTTATAAGTTAAATTATGCGCCATATCGTGTATAAAACCTAAGTAATGTCAATTAATGTGATATTTGGCATTACAAGTGAATTTGTATTTTTTTAATCATCGGTAAAAACTTTTGGTCGTGAATTTTCCTTGAAATCAATCGTAAAAAAAGAAAGATGTGCCGCATATTAATAACATTTCATGTATATTAATCCATATTTTAGTATAAATTATACTAAAATAGATATGGAATTATACTAAAATTATACTGATATAGATTTCAGTGATTTATTTCCTTCAGGGATACTCCATAAAAACTCACATACAAAATTTAATTGGATAAACTAGATAGAGAATCGACTTTAGGTTTTACATATATCTTTAGATAATAAATAGAACAATTTATTAAATTTTCAAGTTATTATTAATGTTAGAACGTTAACCAATATCTTTAAATTAAGACTAAATTTAATTAATATTGACAAACATAAATATGCAAATAAAGAACGAAACCTGGATCTAAATAAAAATCAATTATGTGGTAAAATACTTTCAATTTTATAAAATTGAATACTATAAGGATATACATAAAAGTAAAAAAAGCTATTTTATGATCGAAATGGGAATGCGGTACTACGATGAGTTGAATTTTCGGTTCACTGGATCGGTATCTCGATCCAGAAGCGAAGAGGACGTTTACCTGCCTGTAAGAACGGTTCTTCCTAGAAATATCCCGGGATGTTTGTGAAGGATGCTGCTATCTTTCGCGGAAGTTTTCCTCCGTTACGAAAAAATTTTCGTTAAATGCAATCTTGATAGGCTCTAATTCCGACGCAGGAAACATCTTTTACGATATAAATGTACAGTATTGAAAATCAGATTTGTGGAAATTACTGCTCTCGACTCCGGGACGTATCACATTATTACATATTACGGTTATCAAGCGAGATACGTTCCCCGGCGAGAAAAAATTTTCAAGTTTACGTTCCCCCGTTTTTCATTTCGCGTTGTCAAAGCGCCGCTCTATAATTAGAATTTCAAATGCCTCGAAGGAAAAAAGAAAAAGGAGAAAACAAGATGAAAACGCGCTTTCATCAATTCGCCGTTTCGAATCGAGTTCGTCGGTGACGAACTTGTTGGAACTTGTTGGAACGCTGCATGGACATATCGGACCCCCGGTTACGCACTTGGGACACCCGTTAGATCGCGCGACGCGACGAGGGAAGGGCCCCGGAGACTCTCAGCGGCGCGGCTCGCCGAGCGAGCGAGCGAGTGAGGCGTTCCGAAAACCTGTAATTACGGACCCGGCGTACATCAAGCGG